GAAGACAAAATCACTTAAAAAATTCAAAGGACTAACATGAGGGACGAAAAGATTAATTTGTTCTCTTATACTTTAGGAATGAATTGTGTTCAACAGGCAAGGGAGATGAGGCTATACATTTGATTCAGTAAACGGAAATAGCTTTCTAACAGTTAGAGGTATCTAGGAATTGAATAGGTGGTATCATGAAGTAATGAGTTTCCCATAGTTAGAGGCCTTCAATCAGAAGGAGCGTGACCACCTGCCAGAGACCTTATAGATCCCTGTATCAGGTAGGGGTTTGCTATAAACTGCCTCTTAGATTCTTTCCAACTCTAAGATTCTAAATTATTGAGAACAGCATGAATAAAAGATCCAAACTCACTCAGGAACTAAATTATTCAACAAAAGGTAATAGAACTTACAGCTATGAGGTTGAATCAACCAGCCTTTGGGTGCCAGCAATCCCATTTTACAAGGAAAAGAGATACAGATCTTTAGAAATGATTTATTTTTAAATTACAACATTAAAATTAATTTTACAAGAAAACAGATCACCCACAATCACATCTTTCAAGAAAACATTTTAAAATTTTCTATTACAAATTTGACCTATGTGTTCACATAATTTCACTTGTGTAAGACTTATTTCCTTTGTTAAGCAAAGTCCTGAATTTTTTTTTTTTTACCAGCCTTGCTCCTGGGGAACAGGATAATTGAGTGGCTCTGCTGTTACTGGTCTTCACTTTTTCAATTAACATTATGCTAAAAATATAAATTAATGCTTATCGCATTACTACAAAACCTTTACCATTCTAAGGCCTTACACATTTGTATCAGGATACCATAGTTTACTCAGACATTTTCCTACTGGAGGACGTTTATGCTACTTTCTTTTTTTTTTTTTTTTTATTAAATGGAAACTGGGTACATTGATGCACTTTGGGGGTACAGTGTGGTGTTTTCACACACAATCCAAGACACTTCCATCAAACTGGTTAACATAGCCTTCATGTAACTTTCTTAGTTATTGTGTTAAAACGTTCATATTCTACTCATAGAAAGATTCACCTGTACCCTTGTAAGATGAACCACAGAAGTGAACCCTCGAATCCCTCTCCCTCCACCTTCTCCCTCCTCCCACCCCCCTCCCCATATCCTTAGGTTGTTATTAGGTTATAGCTTTCATTTAAAAAGGTTTAAATTAATTTCATAATAGGGGTGTGTACATTGGATACTTTTTCTTCCATTCCTGTGATGCTTTGCTAAGAACAATTCAGCCTTGAACATCTTTATACAAACTACTTTTCCCCTCTTTTGTTTTTTTCGTTCTTAATTTTAATTGACAAATAATAACTGTATGTATTATTAGGTTCAAAGGGATATTTTGATATATGTATACACTGTGGAACATTCATAGCAAAGTAATTAACGTATCTATCACCTCAATACTTATTGTTTTTTTTGTAGTGAGAACATTTCAAATGTTCTTTTAGCAATTTTTAAATGTACAATACATTATTATTAATGATGCTCTGTATTTAATAGAACTCAAAAACTTATTCCTTCTGTCTAACTGAAACTTTGTACCCTTTGACCGACATCTCCCCATTTCCTATCCCAACCCCTTTGGAATTATTTCCTAGGTCTGGGGTTACTGGGCAAAAATATGTGGATATCTTTATGGTTCAAAATAAGTACTGCCAAAATAATGCTATCAGTTTGCAGAGCTACTAGAAATAACTAAGTTTAACCATTTCCCTAAAATATTGTCCACATCAGGTTTCATTCAACATCTTAAAACTTACTAACAGATATTAAATAGTACTTTATAAATTGCTTACATTTCCATTTTTTTTCTCTAGTAGTGAGTTTGAATAGCCCTCCATACTTTTTTTTAAATGAAAACAATTCTTTGTATACATTCCTACAGTAGAGAGAGACCGCAGTAGCGCATCTGGATACAAAGAAATCACACCAGAGAAAGTATATGAAGCGGAGAAGATGAAAATTAATTCTAAGAGGTAGGGCAAATTGTTCATTCTCCCAATCAGAATGGACTTTCTAGGAAGGCTAAGAGCACTGAGAAAGCATTGGTTTGGCATTGGTTAGCATTGGTCCCTGATGTAGCTTCCTTAAACTGAAAGATGTGAGGGTTCCCCAATAAGTTCTTTTTCCTTTAAATTTACATGAATTATGCAAAGGATGATAGAGTTTCCTGGGCTGTTGGTTAAGACTCCAAACGTCTCAAAAATAACTTCCCATATTGAAGGCCCTACTAAATAGGAAGAAAGCAGGTGAAAATCATACAAAAGGCAAAAATTAAAGCATAAAAAGCTTATAATAAAATAACATCATATTATGTCAAAAATCAAACTGACAAATGGAACTTGTGGTAGTCTCCACACATAACTGCATTTGTTTTTGTAAGATTACATTACTAAGTGAGTACAGATCTCTCTGACTTGATCATGTTTTCCCCTCTGGAAAGATGTAAAATGAAATAAGAGTGGTAGGATGTTAAAAATTAAGAGACTAAAAACATGACAGTGAGGGATTAAAAGTCCTTGCTTGTTTCCATAGTAACTGCACAAGCCACATTTGCACTAGACAAGCACTCTTAGACATGCATCTATTTCTTGCCACTTGTTATATTCCTAGGAAGCACAAGGTAACCACACTATTATGTAGTATAATCACCATTCAACTACATATAATTTGAAACCAACATGTTATAGTTGCCTAGGTAATAGTAATCTTACATTTCACATGGGAAACTGGCAGTGCTGGCTTCATGTGTATATCATATACGTTGTGCAGCGGAGCAAAAACTGCCATATCCTCTCATAAGATGTGCTTGAAAGTGTATTATAATCTGACAAATGTCTTTTGTGTAAAATGCTACTATTAGATCTGCTTAGAGAGCTGGCTCTCTAGATCCCCAGAAAAAAAAAAAAACTCTATGAACAAAAGAATAACAGTTTTAAGAAAAATTCACTCACTAAATGACAGGTAGATAATAGTAGGAAAAAGAGAAGGTCTGACTTGAGTCCTAGGTGGGTGGGGATCAGAAGATTCTGGACACTCCTTGGGGAAAGTTCTTGGCTTTTGCCAAATGAAGCAGACAAAAATTAGAAGGAGATTAAAATGGAAGCTTCATTAGAGTAGGGACCTAGACCTGGGTCAAAGGCCTGGTAGTGTTCAAAGAATACCTGCTAAAACACTGAATGAATATATTCCTCAAGGGACTGAGAATCCTAATTCTACAAAAGACCAAACAGTATATTCTGAAGGACTTCTGTAAGACTTATCCCCTAAGATGAGCAAAGCTCAATTCCATATTACTCTTTTGACATTCCCAGCTGTACGTATATGTGTATTCTGTGCCTTCTGAGTCCTCATGTACACAAGAGTTTCTGTTCACTTTTTAGCCTGATTGAAAGGTACAGGTACTTGTTTCACTTACCAAGTTAATAGACACAAGCCAAAAGACAGAGAATTTCATAATGTGTCTTACATTCACAAGATTGGCAGTAAAGAACTGATGTTCTCTGTATATAATCTTAAAGTTTTATACCAAAAAAGGTAAGGTCATCTTTATAAGTAACGTTACTAATAGACAAACTAAAATTTCAAAAATGAAAATATCATTAGAGGAAAGAAATAAAGTCCATCAGTGATGTTTCTGGGTTCCCACAGTGACATTTGTTTCTAACTATTCACACATAATAAATACTGTACCTCAGGGTCTCTTAAAGGCTTTGAAGGCAGGAACTAACCCATATTCTTTTTTTTCTAATTTGTGGTATCCAAAAACATATTTTCTAATCCCCGGAGAGATTGGAGGGGGAGACAATTAGAGAGGACATGTGTAACAGATAGACTACGTGTACAATATTGTGTATGTGAGAGTGTGTGTGTGTGTGAGAGAGACTGAATGTGTGTAAGTTCATGATTGTGTGTATGAGAGACTGTGGGTGTGTGAGAGAGACTCTCAGAATCTCCTAACTACACAAACTGTAACAGTTCTATAAAATAAGTCTAAGTCTAAGTTTTTGCCTATTTCAATTCCTTCTCTGAGCCTGAAAAATTTTAATAGAAGATCCCAACTAACTCTTATTCTTCTCCATACCAATGCTTGTTTACTTTGCATAGCCTGATATTTCATCTACATGATACACCATCATTTTCTCAATGTATAGGTAAAAGACACAAAAATTTAAAATTTTATCTAAATTTCAATCTCCTTCAATTTCCCTTAACAAAATGGAAGAGTTAGTGGGGAAAAAAGGATTATAAATTGGATGGGTTTCCCCTTTCCACGCACTGAGAAAGACATATTCTTACCAGTTTACAGAAATATAGACAAAGTCACATACGCGATCAAATGATTCCAAGGCTCCAAACTCAACACACACCAGGAAACCTGGAAACGTTCAACAGAGTGAGACAGACTCTGAGGTACTGGGAGAGGAACCAAAGAGACAGAGAAACAGGATGGACAGCAGCTCAGGACAGGCGGTCATTAGCAAACCTGGGCAGATGCCAGTGCCAGAGAAGACAGAGGGAGCCCGCTGGAGAGTGTGTGCATGACACCCACACCCACACTCGCTCTGCTCTCCTACCACTGTACTCGCCCTTACCTACACACGCGGTCTCTCTCACAGTCTCTCTCGCAGTTCATTCTCATACACTTGTCTCTCATGCACACTCGGTCTCATACACTTGATCTCACATACACAAGTCTCTTACGCACATGCATCTCTCATACACAGTCTCCCCCATACAATCTTTTATGTACATAGTCACACACACACACACACACACACACACACACACACACACGCCCCCGTGGCTCCGCCCCTGTCTCGGCCCCGCCCCCGAAAGGGCTCCGCCCAGCGGCCAGAGGCGGGGCGAGCCAGTGACAGGAGAGGCCGGGCTGGCTCCAGAGCCCCGGCCGGCGGGGCGCGCTCCGGAGGTTCCTGTCAGCGGCCGGCGCGGCGGATCCCAGGGCGGCCCTCGGGCGGCGGCGCTGCCTGCTGCGTCGCGGCGTGGCCCTCCGGCGGCCGCATCGGGCGGCGGGAGTTGGTGGCGGGATGTACTCAGCCGGGGAGCTGCTGCGGGGCGGTGGCGACGGGGAGCGTGACGAGTACGGGGACGCGCCGGAGACCGAGCGAGAGCCCACGGCGAGCCCGCGGCGGCGCGGGCTGCAGCTGCAGCAGGAGAGTGAGCAGGTGAGCGCGGCCAGGGGCGGCGGCGCGGCCCGGGCCCGGCCCCGAGCCCCCCCCCAGCCCCCGCGGC